CCCTTTTCTTTGTTGAAGAGGGTCTGTGCAATCCTTCTGCCTAGTCCGCCATCTTGCCCTGCCTTCCTATTCTCTATGTTTTTATCTTACTGGGATGTTTCATACTTTGGGTCACTGTGTCCTAGTAAACATTTATCGTTTTACAGTCCTTATTCCTGAGGAAACTTCTGTGATTGTTTTAATGACCATCTGTTGTCCTTGAGTATGTAAAGGAGTAAAACTTTAGCTCTGAAGAAAATAAGCTGATTGTATGGATTCCAAAACTAATGATGTAATCATGTACAAACATAAATAAAGTAGAACAAAGGCATCGGGTTGCTCTCACAGAATATGCAGGGTATCCGCCTGGGCCCCATTCCTTTTAAATAATAATAAAGAAAACCATTAATCTTTTCATGTTGCTTCATTTCATGACCTGTGCGGTTTTGCCAGACATGGCAGAGAAGCATTGAGATAAGTCTCTAGCTTTGGCACACTTGAATCCTGCATGTAGCTTAGCCTTCATTTGACAGCCTGCCATGTTTCCTATCTATCTTGGGACTGTATTTGGACTTGAACTAGTGGCCTGCCATGTTGTGTGGTAATATTGGGATTGTGCCATTTTATTTGTCGACCTTGGGTTTCTCAGCCTCAGCAGCTGCCTGAGTGAAGAGACACCTCTAGCTCCAGTGGCCAGGAGCAAGAGGCAGAGCTGAAGCCCAAGATTAAGGGGCTTTCACCCAGCCCCTAGAGCTTGGCACTTTGAACTTGGACTTCTAGCCTCCAAAACTGTAAAAGAATAAATTCCTGTTTGTTAAAGCCATCCACCTGTGGTATTTCTGTTAGAGTGGCATGAAGTAACAAAAACAAATTCCAAGTCTATAATCTAAAATAATCAGGATGAAACCTATATATTACAACTTTAACTACCTACCCCCAAAAGTACACTAGTGGTATTATACTTACTATACCCCATGAGCTCTCCACCAGGTGCCTCTGCAACGATGAAATACTCTGGCCAATGGGCGAGGTACTGTAGGTAAAAAGGAATCCCATACTAGAGTCATGTTAAGGAGTGTGAGAAGTAATGGATAGTAAAAAGCTTCCTTTACAGAGTCTATTATTTGTGGCTTTATCATCAGTTCTATGTATTTCTATAATCATAGAATTACATTAAATGTTTAGATTATCAAGGACTTTTTAAAAATTCCCTGATCATTTAACCTTAAATGGGAAATAGAGACAGCAACGTTTCATAGAACGCAGAGAGCCAGGGCTCCAAAGTTCTATTTCACTCCTGATCATCCTCTAAATACCTATATAGCATTCACCATCACCTAACATTTCTATCTGTTCACTATCTCCTCCCCATCAGAATGTGAGATCTTTGTCCTGTTCACTTTATCCATAGTGCCTAGTGCTTGACACAGGAGATGATCAATACATTTGTTTCCATAATTACAAACGAAAACTAATGATTGATTTCTACTTGGGCTTCAGCTATGTCTGTGGAAGTAACTTTTAAGTACTTCGAGAAGCAACTTAACCAGTTTTCTCCCTCCACTGATTCAAATTTTCCATTTAATGCAAACATAAAAGCTCATTTAAGGAATAAAATATGTGAACAGAGAATGCAAGAATAATGTGTTCATTATTTAACTCTTTAACCCTCAGTTTCTTTTTGACACATGTTTCTTTTTAGTTTAAGTAGGGGACGCAGTTGTATTAAGGGACCCCATTAATCAATCATACATAAAAACATACTGGAAAACCTATTCAGTGCTAAATTTTTCAAACTGTCCTCTGAAGGACAATCACTATTACTCTTCAAACATAACCCTTACCATGGTAGGCCAGCCCATCTTCCTGCTATCAGCTACTGACATGCTGCATAACTGACACACACCATAATCACCTCTCTTCATGTCCACCACCAGGAACAGGCAGGTTACTTTCAAGTATGATTCTACCTAGATTACAAGACTTTTACTGTAAAATTTAGATGTAACTAGAAGCACACAAAGTTATAGGAGCTCTGGTAGCACAGTGCCTAAGGCACTTGACTGCTCACCAGAAGGCTGGCGGTTCAAACCCACCAGCCACTCCTCGGAAGGAAGGTTGGGCAATCCTACTTCCGTAGTGATACCGCCTCGGAAACCCAAGGAGGGGTCGCTATGAGTCGGGGCCGACTCGATGGCAAACAACAACAACAGAAGCACACTGGTGGCAAAGTGCCAAAGGCATTTGACTGCTAACCAGAAGGCTGGCGGTTCAAACCCACCAGCCACTCCTTGGAAGGAAGGTTGGGAGATCTACTTCCATAGGAATACTGCCTCAAAAACCCAAGGAGGGGTCACTATGAGTCAGGTCCAACTTCATGGCACACAACAACAACAAAAGAAGCACGCTATAAAAGTTGATTTGCATCCTGGTATTTTCCCCTTACTACATAATGACATTTTTTTCATAATTCTTCAAAAATCTCTTTTCTTCCCTGAAACTACTGCCCTGAGATAATCTTTAAACCTTAAGCTAAAAACATTCTCTGAAGTCATCTTACAAGCAAACAGTTTAACTTAATAAAAAAGATCTACCTTGAATGTTAAGATCTATATGGGATCAGATAGACAATAGCAGCTCCAAAGATGAATATAAACTTTAGGGGGCAGTGAGTTTATGTTGAAGGAGGAACAACTCAGAAAAGAAGGGTGAGAATGGTTGCACAACTGGAAGAATATAATTGGTGTCACTAAGCTGTACATGCAGAAACTGTTGGATTCATATTTTGCTGTGTATATTTTCAACAACAACAAAATTTAGGGAAAAAACTTTAAACATGGAGAGAACATTATCAGTTTTAAAATACAAATGAAAACTTTTTTTTTTCCTCTTTCCACTCAACTTCATTTCTAATATGTAGCCATGTTGTTGCCTAGACCTGTAGTTTATTTTTACTGCTGTATAGTATTCCACCCTGTGAATGAGTAAGAAAATTAAATACCTGTAGTTTATTTTTACTGCTGTATAGTATTCCACCCTGTGAATGAGTAAGAAAATTAAATACCCTGTCCCCTGAGAATGAGCACTGAGCCATTTCCACTTCCTCAACCTTTTTAAATCCTTTATGAATACAACGTAATTTATTATTGTTGTATGTGAACATTATCCCAAATGTTTAGTAATTCTTCTGTAATAAATACTTTTATAATTATACCACTCCATGGTCAACAAACTTTTTCTGTGAAGGGTTATACAGTAAGTATTTTAGCCTTTGTGGGACATGTGGTCTCTGTCAAACTATTCAACATGTGAAAGTCACAGACAGTACATGAGTTAAATTACCATGACCACGTTCCAATAAACTACAAAAACAGGCCATAGTTTGCCAACTCCTTACGTGACTGCCGCCATTTCTGATTACTTTCAGATTCCAAGAAATGGAATTAGAGTATGACATATATTGCCAAAGTACCTTCTAGAAAGATTGTAGCAATTTATTCTCTTATTAGTGATTTATGAGAATGTTTTCACCCTCACCAGCATTGAGTCTTGTCATTTTTATTAATACTTGATCACTTGATAGGTAAATATGGCACCTAATTTTGGTTTTAATTCTCCTGTCTTTTGACTGGTGAGAATGAACTCTTATTAGCCTGCCCTCTTTTGTTAAATTATCAGTTAACAGAACCCTTCTATCCACCTTCAGTGGACATGGAGCAAAACCTAAAAATCCAACTTTGTGTTTTAAGCTGCTGAAATGTGGAGGTTGTTTGTTAGTGCATCATAGCCTAGAGTACACTTAACTTCACACATCTTACCCCATTGTCTATTGGGGAGCATGAGAGACTGCTACTTGTTACCCAAGATCGTTTTTTTCACTTTAGTAACAAGCCTCAGTTTTAAGCTGAGCACATCCCTGAACAGGTGTGGCATGATACAGGTACTAGTCAATGAGTTACAGAAGTGCTGGGTGGTACTTCCCTTATTCCTTTTTGCCCCTAAAAAGGAAGGATATTCCCTCCGTCCCCTCTGTTCATCCTGCAGTCAGGAGCATGGATGTGATGCCTTATGCGCTGGCAGCCATCTGGCAAAGGAAGACAAAGGCCATCCTGGGAATGGTTAATCTGCCAGGAACCTAGTCACCAGTGACTTCAAGGAACCACCACTTGCCCTGGCTTGTAAACCTCCAGACATGGTTTACAGCAGAGAGAATCTATCCTGTTGAAGTCACTGTCTTTCTGTGCAACCATACTCACTACTGAACGGCAAGGTAGGCTGAGGAGTTGAATGCTGTATGAGATCATTATAGTAACAATTTATCAAACAGATTTAAGAATACTCTTGTTCCCAATGTTTTTCTTAATTGTTTTCAATATTGTTTATGATATTTCCTGACCTATAAGTTTTTCAAGTCAGAAATTATTTTTTCTTTTGGTTTTCTCCATTTCCTTTATTCTTAGAAAGTCTCCCTTTAACTTTTTAAAGAAAGGATACAGTTTCTGTAAGTGGATCCAAGTTACTGAAAGAAATAAGAGAAATGTCAATAGTAAGCAATGTTTACAAAAACAAGTTTCAATGTCCCATTAAAACTAAAAGGAAGACAATATATGCTAAATCCACAACTATAGGGCCAAGGAAGACAGTTTAAATAATGACCAGATAAGCTGTTACACTGACTACAGAGGTATCTATATATTTTTATTTAAATGCTTCTTTATAAATTACTTTATAGTTACTAAATCTGTATCAAAACCTTGTATTTTCTAAAGGGCAGTAAATTGTTAATGGGAACAACCAGGCATGTATGTCACAAACCAGCATGCCACAGCACCTGACCATGCAGCCCCTCCTTACCCTGTCTCTGGACCTTCCCTGAGAAGTGCTTCACTCTCTATTAGTCTTCTACTGAGTAGATCCTACTCCTCTCACTACCTAGGACCCTGCTTCTCCAATTCTCTCCCCTGGAAAAAAATGTACCCTTCTCCTGGAAAATTATGGTACACTTAGCCAGCAGCAGCTCTTCAAAGTTTGCCACTCTTTTCACTGAAAATGCTCTCTTCATGGGTCTTCCACACCCCCAGTCCTGGTTTTCCTCCCACCTCACTAGGCCAGTCTCCTTTACTGGCTTTTCTCTGTCTCTGAGCTCTAACACATGAGTGCCTAGGGGTATCATCTTTTGATCTTCTGTTTTCTATCTACACTCACTCTATCATTGTTGCCTCCTAGCCTTGTAGTTTTAAATACCTCCTATATAGTGTTGATCCCCAAATTTCTATCTTCACTCCAGACCTGAACTTGAGACTCACATGTCCAGCTGCCTACCTGACCTCTCCAGCTGGGTGTCTTAAGTGTACTTGGCAGAGAAGCCCAGTCCTCACAGTGCCCTAGGATGGCCAGTTGATGCAGCTCCTGTTACACTGATTTCATTATCTTTACACACCCACACTTGCTCCAGCCACTGGCCTTCTCCCTGTATATGAAACAAGTCTCTCTGAACTCTGCCAGGAAGCCACTCTACCCTCAGTATTCACATAACTCACTCCCTCACTTCCCCTGGGTCTGTCTTCAGTAGCATCTTTCCTGAACACTCTCTCTAAAACATAATCCCCAACATAATTTAACATTAAATCCCACATGATATATATTTACTTGTTTTCCCTTCTATGATGGAGGCACCAATTTGTGTCAGTTTTGTTCGCGTGTGTATCCCCATTATAGACATATAACAGCTATGGGATTATTTTTCCAAGAATAAATAAAAGATGTGTTACTTTAATTACAATGTTTCTACAACTGCTGCATCTTTCAGACCCTACTGCAACACCCAAATCCAGTGATTCTCAGAATTTTCTACCAAAATGCCCTCATCAAAGAATTATAAGTAAATTAGCATATTTGGAAGAGGCATTTTAACAAGCCAAATGACTCTTTAAAATCTAATGTTTTATCATAAATGTTCATGTGTATTTTCCTTCTACTCCATTCGTTTTTATATAAAAGTGTCGTCCCTTCCTTGGTCTCTAAGAGGCTCTGCCTTGTTTATTCCTGGAGCTTCAAGGCACCTGTCACTTCCCCAGCTGCCCTTCCTAAACCCCAAGCCTTTATCCAGTAGTCATCACTGGGACATTGCCAAGGCCCCCCAGTTGACTCACTGGTCTGTTAAACCTCCACTAATTGCCTGATATCCCCCAGGATGCTACTGCTGCTGGTTGGGCCCATGCTTTGAGAACCACAGCTCTAGAGCCAATGTCTTTGGACAGTATTCCCTGCTTTACCCACTCCCACCTCAGGGGTCTATCATCTAGGACAATTCATCCGAGCTCTCTGTACCTTGTTTTACTCTGACATTTACTCTGACATAAAATGGGGATAATGACAGCACCTACCTCAGATTGACTAAATAGGTTATACTTGAGAGATTCAGAACAGTGCCAGTCTCCAGCATTAGCTGTGCTGCTTTGAGGACAGGCCCAGCAGATTATTCTCCTCACAGCATCAAATCTAAATTCCTCAACAATGGAGCCAAAGTCCAGTTCTACCAGCTACCAGTTTCTCTCTAACTGCTCATTTACAGTAACTTTCCGTCATATCCACGTTGATCTCCTTTGTGGTTTGACTATGCCTCCCATTTCTCACCTCCACACCTCCCTCTCCAGAACTGCCTCCTCACTTGCCAACATTTTATTCATCCTTCAGGGACCCCATACAAAGTTCATCTTTACACCTGCTATGTAAACCCCTGAGTCCTCAGTTTCCACATACTGTCTACTGTCTTTAAATGCGGGTCCAGGACTGACAGGTGAAGGGATAGGTATGTGATGAAGCCAACGTAGCAAAACGTTAAGTGTGGAATCCTAGTATTTTGTCTACAGGCATTCACAGTAAAATTCTTCCAATTTGTCTAAATGTTCAGAAATTTTCGTATTTTCTTAACCTAAGTGACGTGCTCAGCATCTGCCCACTGCTCTCACTCCTCCCAACAGAAAACAAGGTATCTACACTGTGATGCGAAGCTACAGTAACTAAATGTGTAAATACAGACCACCGCTAAGAGAGGAACCTCCGCGGTAGGGTGCAAGGACTACAATGTTACTTCGTTCAGATACAAGCTAACCGTGCCGCCAACTGGCCTCACGATGGGCATATTCACAAACGACGTTCTGCGCGCAGAAAATTCTAGCCTCTATCCGAGAGCTCTGCACGTATCCACGTCGCTCCGACTCCTACAAGCGACCCTCTACCGTCGGGAGTTGTCAGATGGCCACCAGCTCGTGGTCACGGCCAGGAAGCGGGAGAGCCAGGCACCGGCCCCCCCTTCCTCAGCCCCACGTCCGCGTGCCGCGCCAGGCCCCGGGCCATCCGCTCGCGATTTCTGGACGCAGAGGGGCGCGTAGAAGCCTCGGAAGAAGCCAGGCGAGCGAGGAGCGGCCACTCCGGGGGCGCCTCACTCACATGTTGTTGAAGCGGAACAGGTCGTCGCAGGTGAAGGCTCGGAGCGTGGTCATCGCGCCGCTGCTGCGGAAGTCGGCTCCTCTTGCCCCCGCCCCACCGGAAGTCGTCGTGCGGGCGGCCCGCGAGCCAGGGAACTACTTCCGGGCCGCAAGTTGCCCGGCAACCACTAGCAGCGACGCAGCGCCCCCTGGTGGCGAAATCCCAGAATTGCCAAACCCTTCTTATGAAGGGGTGGTCTGTGTTCTCGGAAATTGGTAACCCTATTACCGGAAAAATGCCAGGGTCCGGCCCTGGAGAGGCGTAGCCAATAGTCACTATCAGAGTTCAATGACAAGAGAAGAGTTTTAATTAGGAAATGCACCAACGAGGGATAGGCCGGGTCTCAGTGACTCCAAAAACGCCCACTGTGCTCAGCGCTTGCAGTCGGGTTCTCATACTGAAGGAAAAAGAGGCACGGCTGGTAGGCAGGATTCAAAACCCACTGCCGTCCAGTCGGATCCGACTCATAGCGATCACTCCTTGGGTTTCCAAAGCAGTATCACTACGGAAGTAGATTGCCCAGTCTTCCTTCCGAGGAGTGGCTCGTGGGTTTGAACCGCCAGCCTTCTGGTTAATAGTCAGATGCCTTAGGCACTATGCAGGATTAGCTAATACTTTTCCAAAGTTAGATAGGACAATGGGTAATTAAGAAAAATATTTCCTGTGAGTTCCCGGCAGTCAGATAATTTTCTTAAGAGGCTCTTTCAGTATTTGTCAAAACTCAGGTGGCTGGTGCCAAAGTCTGGCTCAGGAGCCTTTACTGACATAAATGGCCGTCTTAGATCACAGGGTGCAGCAAGAACTGATAACTATCTTAGAGAACAAGTTAATTATGACACAAGTTTGAAGCTAGGTTTTAAAGAAGTGGCATTTTAACTGAAAAATACAGAATCTTATTTGAATAAAACGGAGTCAGGCCTAACAAAGCAAGTATCTTTATCCTTACATGCTTATATTCATGACTGAATAAAGTAGGCAATGTGTCCACTTGGGAGGGAGGAAAAAGCTGCTAGAAATTAGGAAACAAGCAGAAAAGTGGGGTTCAGAAGCACATGGAAGCCTCATGGGGGAAAAAGGAAACAATAGGTGGAGCCAATGGGGCAATTTATGGTCCAGAATTTATGGTCCAAAGCAGCACTGTCTCATAAAAATATGTGAGCCCCTTATCTAGTTGTTGTTGTTAGTTGCCATTGAGTCTATTCATACTCATGGTGACCCCGATGTGCAGCACAGAACTCTCTGTTCCACAGGGTGTGATCTTTTGAGAGCAAATTGCCAGGCTAGTGTTTGGAGGTGCATCTGGGTGGGTTCTAACAGCCAACCTTTCTGCTAGTGGTTGAGTGCATAACTTTTTGCACTACCCATGGATTCCACGTTTTCTAGTAGCCACTTTAGAAAAAAAAAAAAGATGAAATAACTTTAATAATATATTTTACCCCATATATCCAAAATATCATTTCAACTTATCAAAATAAAAATATTAGTGGGATATTTTACATTTTCTTTTTTCTAAGTATTTGAGGGAGCTCTGGTGGCATAGTGCCTAAGGCATCTGACTGCTAACCAGAAGGCTGGTGGTTCAAACCCACCAGCCACTCCTGGGAAGGAAGACTGGGCAATCTACTTCTGTAGAGATACTGCCTTGGAAACCCAAGGAGGAGTCGCTATGAGTCGGATTCAACTTGACAGCAATGAGTTTGGTTTTTGGTTTGGAAGGAAAGGAAACTGCCCTTGAGTGGGATCCGACTCACAGCGACCCCTCCTTGAGTTTCTGAGGCAGTATATCTACGGAAGTAGATTGCCCAATCTTCCTTCCGAGGAGTGGCTGGTGGGTTTGAACTGCCAGCCTTCTGGTTAGCAGTCAAATGCCTCAGGCACTTCGCCACCAGAGCTCCTGTTGGTTTTTGGTTTAAGTATTTGAAATCTTGTATATATTTTACATTTGTAGCATATTTCGATCTGGAAGCTAAACTGTCAATGGAAATACCTGTTCTGTATTTAAATTTCATAAACTATATGGTTAAAAACTAGATTCACATACCCAAGTGGTTCCAAACATACTGAGTTTTCAAGTAACTAAGTTGAACATAATTTTTTAACTTAAATTTACATTAATAAAAATTAAAGTTAAAAAAATTCCATTCTTCAGTTGTACTAGCCACGTTTCAAGTTCTCAATAGCCCCATGTGGTTAGTGGCTACTGTATTGGACAACAAAGAGTCAAAGACTGAAAAATGAAGATATCTTTCCCCCTTTTGAAGATTCTTTCTCCTCACTCCTTTGCAAAGCAACTATTGTGCCGTCTTTGGGGACTGGTTGCAGATGTCAAACCAACCCAAATAACTCAAAAAATGACATATCCCTCTCTCCACCACCCCTAAGTTGCTCCACAGGGACTTCCTTAGCAATACCTTGCCCAGACATGTAGCTCAGACACAGAATGAGGAGGAGAGAAAATAGATGGTTGAGGAAGTAGGTAAGCCCAGTAAAGATCACCCAAGGCTCAAGTTCAGCTTCAGGCATTGTTTCCTACCTCAACAATAAAGGCACATTAGTGTAAACTCCATAGGAATTTTAAATTCATGTTTACAGGTATAAATGCACCAGTAGGGTGGAATGTGACCTAGTAACCTCAGATAGTTCTGCTATGTATTTATATGGGGAAACATTTTAAGTCCATTTTATGTCAACAAAATCAAATTTTAAATCAGCAAAACTAACCACATTAAATGAATATCAAAGGTTAATTTTTAGAAAAAGTAAAATATTAAAAATGTAAAATGAACATATGTCAAAGATTTTATTTAATTGGTTAATTTTGAAAAGGACCAGCACAAAATGAACAAATATTCATTGCAGCACTATTCACAATACCAAAAAGATAGAAACAACCTGAGTGTCCATCAATGGATGAATGGATAAATAAACGTGGTACATACATACAATGGAATACTACTCAGCAATAAAGAAAAATAATTTCTTGAAACATCTTACATTGTGAATGAACCTGGAGGATAGTATGTTGAACAAAAAAACATACTGTATGGTCTCACTTTTATGAAATGACATAAGTAGATAAATATACAAAAACTAACCTTCATTAGAGGTTACTGGGTCGGGGGTGCGCAGAGAAGTACTCCTTAGGTAGTAGTCAAATTTTATTTTGTCCTAGGGCAAAATTACCACAAAGTTATGTTGTTGTTGTTGTTGTTATGTGCCGTCAAGTCGGACCCGACTCATAGTGACCCCTCCTTGGGTTTCCGAGGCAGTATCACTACGGAAGTAAGATTGCCCAACCTTCCTTCCGAGGAGTGGCTGGTGGGT